TTTTTTTCTACTTTCGTGTATTTTTCGGCTTATATTGTCTACCTCCCACCCACTAATCCTTGCATCAACATTGCGAAATGAATAGAAGTTTATTGAAACCTTCAGAACTGCTTCTACAGTGTGTGTTCGTTCGCGCTAATCCAATTAGCAACCACGCCCTGTTTGTCCTTATTCTCGTTTCTTTTGCAAATTATCGAATGTTTTTTTCTTGCAGAGATATCAAGGACGAATACGACTATATTGCCAAGCAGGGCAAACAAGATATGGAAAGCTGGTACAAACTTAAGGTGCGCATTCTAAGTCGCTTGTAAGCTGATCCGAATTGAGCACATTTGGTTTGTCCGTTCAGGTCTCTGAAGTGCAAGGAACAGCCAATCGTGCCGCTATGGAATCGAATTACCAACGTGAAGAGGTTAAACGAATGCGCGATAATATTGGGGACTTGCGCGGTAAACTTGGAGACCTCGAGAATAAAAATGCCCTGCTTGAAAAGGAAGTGCAGAACCTCAACTACCAGGTACCAACTGAGAAGGGAAGACGAACCTGGAAAAAAATGGCCAATTCTAGCTCAACGACGATCAAAGACAGTACGAAATGGCCCTTAACGACCGCGACGCCACCCTTCGCCGAATGCGCGAAGAATGCCAGACTTTGGTAGGTTTTTTCCCGCTTTAAGGGATTTCCACTTGAATCTTGAAATCGTTGAAGAAAAAGGATAAAGGAATTGCAATTAACAATGACTGGTAACCTTTGGGATTAATGGACTACCAAAATTAGTACAACGGAATAATTTTAACTACTTAATTCATAGGTTGCGGAATTGCAAGCTTTGCTGGACACGAAACAAATGTTGGATGCCGAAATCGCTATTTACAGAAAGATGTTGGAGGGAGAGGAAAGCCGGTAAGTTGCCCAGAAACAGGAAATACCTCTGTCTTAAAGATGTTACAACGTCGTTTTTTTCAATGTTCAAAAACCTGTTGTTCTTAATTGAGGATCATTTCTTTTTTGCCGCATTGTTACCCATCACCAAGGTTATCAGGAACACGATTTTTTTAGTGTTGGACTACGCCAAATGGTCGAGCAGGTAGTAAAGACGCATTCTTTGCAACAACAGGAGGATACGGATTCGACACGTTCCGTTCGTGGAGAAGTTTCCACAAAAACCACATTCCAACGCTCTGCCAAGGTATAAGCTCCTTACTTTTTCTCATCCCGTTTTTTTCTACTCTTCAATCATTGCAACCTGCAAAGTTGTTTGCTCTTCTCTTCGAAGTTTTTCGAATTTTTAGAAGTTTTCCCGTAGAACAGTGCTTTTTTTAGGGAAATGTCACCATTGCCGAATGCGATCCTAATGGAAAGTTCATCACTCTAGAGAATACACACAGAACTAAGGTTGGCTTCATTTAACCCAAATAATCAAAAGAGTTAAAAAATTTATTTAAAAAAATGCGTTTTTACGGGCAGGCTTAGTCATTTCGTAAGGTATGCACGATGCCGTCGTAATTTAACGACATTTCACTTTCCTTTAGTGTTATCGCTAGAGTCCGCTAAAAAAAACGCCTTTGTATCGCAACAGGGTAGAAAATATCACCCTTGTTTATTACGTCATAAAAAGGTCATATATGTCTATAGGACGAGAATCTCGGTGAGCATAAACTGAAGAGAAAATTGGACAAGGGACGTGAAATTGTGTACACTATTCCGGCCAATACTGTGCTGAAGGCTGGCAGGACTATGAAGGTAGGTTAACCTGGGTTAATTCTCTTGAGATGAAAAAGTTGGCTAAAATTTGAAAATTGCAGATCTACGCTCGCGATCAGGGAGGTATTCATAACCCACCCGATTCGTTGGTATTTGACGGTGAGAACACTTGGGGTATTGGAGCAAATGTGGTCACCTCGCTGTACAACAAAGAGGGTGAAGAACGCGCTACGCACACACAGAAGACGATCCAGACTGGCATCTGATCACCCAGATCCTAACCCCGCCAATTCTCATCGGCTCCCCTTGTTTTTCATATTTCACTTAGTCCTTACGAGCTCATATGTGTAGATAATACACCCCACGTCCATATATCGTCATCATCCTCTAATATACCGTATATCGTCAGTTTTCGCTTCAGTGTTACCGTATATTGCCGGCAGGTGCTGCTCGGCAATACGGTTGTGCTCTTCACATCGTCTGTGACCCCCCCGGCCTCACAGTGTTCGTCGCACTGTGCTGGCATCATCGTGCGCGCGTTCTCCCTCTCTCTCATTATCACTGTCCAAGGCAAAGTGCCCAGCCCCTTTGCGCTCATAGTCAAGCTTGTATACGACGTATATGATTAAGTTTTTGCTGAGATTTTTCATAAATTCATTCTTTGCTGCTGCCTTATTCACGAAAACACCATATATGCATGTGTGCGTGTGTGTGTATGTCTCAACATAATGCATCAATTTTTT